GAACTTCAGGAGGGATGTGGACAACATGGAGAGTGTCCAGAGGAGGACCACCTGCATGATCAGGGGGCAGCAGGGCAGGCCCTACGAGGAAAGGCTCAGGGACCTGAACCTGTTCAGCCTCCATAAGAGAAGGCTGAGGGGGGATCTAGTGGCTGTTTACAAACTAGTCGGGGGGGGACCAGCAGGCACTGGGGGATCCCTGTTCCCCCAAGCACTACCAGAAGTGACTAGAAATAACGTTCATAAGCTGGCAGAAGGTAGATTCAGGCTAGATACCAGGAGGCGCTACTTCACTGTCAGGGTGGCTAGGATCTGGAACCAACTTCCAAGAGAAGTGGTGCTGGCTCCTACCCTGGGGGTCTTTAAGAGGAGGCTAGATGAACACCTTGCCGGGGTCGTTTGACCCCAGTACTCTTTCTTGCCATGGCAGGGGATCGAACTTGATGATCTGCTCAGGTCCCTTCCGACCCTACCAACTATGAAACTATGATAAAAAGTGTCTATGCACACTGCCCAAGGTTCAAAATCAACTTTTACGTACTGCAGTGCTGTTAACCCACCACCAGGGCATTGTAGTGAATACCAAACCCAGCATATTTCCCAATGGCAAATGCCCCAGTTTACCCAGTACTCCCTGAGTAGGGGAGAAGGCCCCAGCTGACTGGACACCAAAAAAGAGGAAGACGACATCAATTGCCCAAAAATGCAATTTTCTGATCACCTTGTCCCTAGCACTGCATTCAATAAAGAACAACTGAGTTCAGTAAAGACCACTCCTGCTGTTAACAAACATCTGTGTCATTGTATTCTGACTACGTATGCCCAAGCATGTGTGCATAGGAGGGGGCTCCTACACCCCTGTTTCTGGGTTCCTGAGAGCTGAGTGATTGGGACTACCAGACAAGTTCTTGGGGTGAATCTGATATCTTGTATTAGACCAACTTAAGCAGTTAGAAAAAAAATTTTAAAGCAAGGTTTCAGGTTCAAAACCCCTTCATCGGGCTGAGAAAGTTTCAGCAGTTGATGTGTGCTCTTCCTGGATGGAATGAAAAGTAAAGAAACCAGAGGCTGGGCTGGTATGCATGCATGCAGTGACAGGCAGTCACTGAAGACAGAATGAGGAGTCAATGTGTGAGAGAGAGGCTGGGTGGTGGGGAGAGAAGGGGGATGAATAGTGGAGAGGTACCTCGGGAGTCAGATGTCAGGTAGGTTATAATGTGTCAAACCCAATGTCTATATTTAGTCCATGATTTCTAGCATCTAGGAGGTTGATGAAGTGGAGCCAACCATCCTAGCCTTGAAACAAGCACCGAACCTCGCTAACCTCATCACCAGAAGCAAACTTCCTCAGGCCCAGAACACACCAAATGGATCCAGACCATGTCATGACAAGAAATCCAAAACCGGCCAACATCTCCACCACCCCCACAATTACTACACCCCACAACAAAGCCATCAGCATTCCTGGATCTTACCGCTGCACCTCCAGAAATGTAATATATCTCATCCAATGCACCAAATGCCCTAATAGAAAATATGTAGGAGAGACCAAACAACAACTGTGCACCAGAATGAATGCACACCAGAAATCTATCAAAGACAGGAATACCCAATTACCTGTGGGGGCACATTTCTCACAAGAAAACCACTCTCTCTCCAATCTCTCAGTCCTGATCCTCAAAAGATGCTTACAAAACACTTCCCAGAGATGAGCCTATGAACTCCACCTCATCAACCTCCTGGATACTAAAAATCATGGACTAAATATAGATATTGGATTTATGACACATTATAACCTGCCTGACAACTGACTCCCCAGGTATCTCTCCACTATTCATCCCCCTTCTCTCCCCCACACCCAGCCTGTCTCTCACCCATTGACTCCTCAATCTACATCTTCACTGACTATCTTGTATGCATACCAGACCAGCCTCTGGCTTCCTTACTTTTCATTCCATCCAGGAAGATCATGCACCAACTGCTGAAACTTCCTCAGACTGACTAAGGATTTTTGAACCCAAAAGCTTGCTTAATTTTTTTTTCCAACTATTTAAGTTGGACTAATAAAAGATATCAGATCACCCAAAGAACCTTGTCTGCCTATGTCCTTAGACCAACAGGCTACAACCTACACCCCTGGGAATACCAGAGCTTTTGTGGCTTTTAAAGAGCACTTTCTCCCAATCCACTCAAGTTACTTCAATTCCTAGTGATGCACCAGTGTCTGGTGCATCAGAGACTGATTTGTGGGTGAAGGTATGAGCCCCTCCCAACCAAGTGGCCATCTGGACCCCTTCTTCTCCTTTTCCAGAGGGCTGGGTGCTTAAGAAGGCTTTCCTTATGGGTAGACAGGTAGCAGTGTGGTGCCTGAACTTCTGCTTTTAGGTTCTCAGGGAGATGAGTATTCTGGGGTCTGCCCAAAGACTCCACAGCTTTTAAGAAGCATTTCCCCCACCAAGCTGCTTATCAATTTAATTCCATACCTGGTATCAGACTAGGCTTTGGGGGCATTCCAGGCTGATTTGGAGAAAAGGGTATGGGTACATAGAGCATACTCCTGCCTCTGGTTTCCCAAGATGCTGGATGCTCTGGAGGACTATCCAAAGTCTCCACATCAGTTGCCAGAAACAGAATGAAATGGACCAGTGGCCTGGGGGAAAGCATTGTTTAAAAGCCTTAGAGACTTTGGGCAGCCCCCGAGGAACAGAGAAGCAGAGGTACAATTTCTACCCACCCAGCCACCTGACCAGCCCATGTCAGGCTGTGATGCCCCAAAGCTTATTCAGCTGCCACTGACAAACAGCTTGGGGGAAAGTGCTGTTTAAAAGCTGCAGACTAGTTAGCTTACTTCACAGTAACTTCTGTATAATGAAAAGCCCTTATTTGTACATCCGTGTTCTGGGAAAGTATTACAGGCTTGCTAGAAAACAAGAGTGGCAGAGCCCCGTTTAGGCAGCTTCATGTTTAATATTGGATATTTCAGACAGACTAAATTACTGTAACACAGTAGAACCCAGACACTTCACACATATCAGTTCCTAAACCCCATGTAAAGATGAAGTGAAATTAATCAATAAATAACAGGTATTACTATTTGCTATAAAGTATATTTCTTAAATGTTTTCATACAGTATGGATGCCAGAACAGAAAGAGCCTTTTTATACTATTACCTGTGGATTAAAGTAATGAGCAAAACTTTGGTCTCCACCAGAGAAAATTCGTTTTACACAGTAATATTGTTCATTGTCTGTAATTAGAATAAAATGTGGTTATTACAAAAATCTCTGACGTGACACATGAGATGACACATCTGACTGCTGCATGAACAGCTGGTATTTCTCCATCATCTACTCTAGCTCAGGGCAAGTCTTCATAACAATATTTTAAGAACACTAGCAACTGCCTGAAACTTTAGCTTCACTAATATTCACTGTTCCTGCTCAAGGAATTAAACAAGCATCACAACTTTACCAAGACCATACCAAAATGGAATCCTCTAGTTCAGATTTAAGCCTATGTAGGAGTGCTAGGGAAGAAAAACATTAGACAAAATAAAAACTATCTTCATCAAGAGATAAATAAAACCACAGGTGATTACATCTGAAGATTCATACAGGAACAGAAGTCAAAACTATAAGCATTTAACATCACACACTTACCTGTGGTTGGTGGGTTGTTGGCTTCACTATAAGAAAGCCAGTTTCCTTTTACTGTGAAAGGACTTTTCCTATTACTGGTTGTTCCTGTACCTAATTGGCCATTACCTCCAAGACCAAAAGAATAAATTCTTCCGGATGAAGGAACAAATGCAGTGGTGTGCTGCCTAGGAAAATGAGAAACAAATTTTAAAATAAAAACAGACAAAACTAAACAAATAGAACCCCTTCCTCCACTCAATACTGAAGCATCATACAGCCAGGTTAAAACAGGACCTTTAATTGTATGTTTAAAGTCTTGCAAATAAAAAAAAAAAAATCAGAAAAGATCACATGTCCTGAGGTAACAGCAGAACCATACAGAACTTTAGGGGACAAAGCAGCTCTACAGAGCTTGCTTCCCTCCACAGCCTCGCCCCCATGTCTGGAGATCTCCAGACATTCATAGTTTTGCAATTTCAACTATACTGTCTGCAATTAGCTTGGGGAGGCACACCCAGGGAAGCCGTTGTGGAAGGAAGAGAATGGTGTATCCACACAGCACACCCAGTACAGCCTGCACCGCTTGCAGCCCCCAGAGGCTTACAAATTGGATAACCTGGCTCTAGATTGTTTGGGAATAGGGAACATGTTTTTAGCTATTATGACTGTACTGGTAGAGTCTACACCTGTTGGTTATTAAGTCTTAAAAAAAAACCCAAAACAAAAAAACAGGATGGAGATGTGGGCGTCATTGTGGACAGTTTGCTAGAAAGATCAGCTCAGTGCTTAGCTGTCATCATAAAGATAAACAAAATATTACGAATTATTAAGAAAGGAATTGTAAACAAAGCAGAAAGTATCATTATTCCCCTTTATAAATCCACAGTTTGTCCACACCTAGAATACCATGCCCTGTTTTGGTCCCCATACCTCAAAAAGGATATAGAACAAGAGAAGCACAACAAGGATGATTACTCATACAGAGGGGCTTCTAGATGAAGAGAACTAAAGAGGGTAGACCGATTCAGTAAAAAAAAAAAAGAGAGAGAGAGAGGTTGTGGGGTGGGATATGTTATGAATTTACAAAATACTTAATGGTGAAGAAAAAGGAAATAGGGATTTATTATCAACTCTCTCTCACAATACAAGAACTAGAGGTCCTAGTATGAAATTACTAGGTAGTAAATTTAAAACAAAAGGAAGTTGTCTTCACACACCATGTATTTCAAGTGTGAAACTCATTACTACAAAATCTTTTTACAGTTAAAAACACCCCCAAAACTCAAACACATTCATATTCTGTGAAGGCAATAAACAATAACCAACAGGTACTCAAAAGCAGGAATATGAGAACAGACGCAGATTACAAATAAATTGTTATGCAGTTTAGATTATTCATGCTTTTTGTGTAGGACAGTTTTCTTTACTTTGCTACTGAGTGCTCTAAACAAAAAAGTACTTTAAGTCTCTAAAATTACTGTCATCATACCTTACCTGTTAGAGTCAAATTTCTGATATTTCATTATAAAATATACATGGCGCTTGGTACAGGACACTTGTGAAATTCATGCCTCTACTGCAGAATGGACCTACCTTCCACAAGCAATTTGCGTGACAACACTTCCCATAAGTTCAAAAACTTTTCTTGGGTTTATCTCATGGCTGGTAGAGTTATGACCCAACTGACCATAGCCTCCAGCTCCAAATGTAAAAACCCCACCTTCCTAAACAAATAGATTATTGGAATAAATTAGGAAGCATCTCAAAATACAACATAATAATAGTTGGGAGACTAACAGCTCCCCTTTCTTGGTTTATTTTAATATTTCATAAACTAAGAGAAAAGAAATAATATGGATACTCTGATATACAAAGGTCACAAGTTAACTGCATTGATGAAAATGTGGTATATCATGCATTACCTTATCTGTATGGAAACCACAAGAAAAATGATTTAACGGTATTACACAAAGCTGTTCTAGGATTAACTTGGCTGGTAAGAGATGGAAACCCTAGTTTTTCCTCTCCCAATTCTCATTATCTTGCTGAACTATAAATATATAAATCCTATTTTTAAAATCCATTTTTAAACCATAACTTTTTAGCTTTTTCTTACTTAAAGTAATTACCAAATATGAAGTTGCCCTCCTCAGACAGATGATGCAGAGTATGACAGAAATAATCAGCTTCATTATTTGAAGGTGTATGAAATTTTAATTTCACCACTGTTGTAAGGCAATTTCAGTTATTAAAAAAGTTTTTGATTAATTTAACAGGAAATTAACCAAAAACCTTAAACAAAAACGTTAATATCAAAAATATTTTTTTCAAAAATTGTACAACTTACCTTACAACTCTGAAATTTTCCATTTTCAAATGCTTTGCAATTGTAAAGCTGACTCTTTCAATCCTACTCTGCATCAGACTGCATCTCTGCTGGAAATCATCATTAAAAGGCAGCATCCGCTGAGAAAAAGCAACAGCCTTATTCACGGATTTACGATAAATAGGTATTTCTAAATTTTAAAAGGGATTTGAAGATACTCAAAACATACACACATTTACTCTACTCACAGAAATATAGTCCAAGACCCTGATCCTTCCGTGCATACCAGGCAAAGAGAGCCTAGTGCCCAAAGGGGCTGTGTATATTTAAAACACTGCATTTATTTCAGTGTTTACTGTTAAATGAACAAATCCATTGCTTTCCATTAAAAATTATAGTTTCAACTTAAATTTACTGTAAAATTAATTTACAGATATTAATAAATGTCTTATTTAAAGGAAAGAACAGTTTATAATGCAATTTTGGCCATTATTCTTCATTCACATTGTGCATTTCTCTAAGCTTGAACAATAAAAATTAATTCAGTTTCAATTTCAGGAATTTACTATTACAGAATCTGGTTTATGAACACTGCAAAAGAATACAAATAATGATTAATTGTTTTCTTGGAACTCTTTTCTCCTCTCACCATGTAAAAATTTCTAATTTTCTTTTTTTTTTTAAATTAAATTTTGCCAAATGTCAGCAGTGTCCTTAAATTCTCTCATACAACAAAAACTTTTTATTTGTAGTAATGCAGAAGTCCAAACAACACCATACAAAGACACAACCTTAATATTCTTCCCCACCCCAACCGAACATCAGACTATTACTAAAGCAGCCTTTGCTGCAATGTTTTTTTTGGTTTGGTTTGGTTTGGTTTGGTTTGGTTTGGTTTGGTTTGGTTTGGTTCGGGGGGGGAGGGGTTCTTTGTTTGTTTTTTTTGCAGTTGAGACAATAAAACCAGACAAGTTCTCTCTGGAATTCCAAAAGTTCTCATGATCAGACACTCTGAACTTATCATGTTTAACAAAAACCCCAAAATCAAAAAAAAAGTTAACTAAAAGGGCTGGTATATTCATTTGTTCAATCAGATCCTATACAGTATGAAATTAACATGTTTCTACATGATTATTTAGCAAACTGAAAATATTTTTATTAAAATTAACTGGTGTTTTGAAGGCAGCTAAACAAAACAGAGCAGCCATGACATTAACCCAAATATAAAAGTCAAACACAAGGAAAATTAATCCATTTTTGTTATTTAAAATTGTCATTCATATATGGCACTACCCATCAAAAATAATGAAGGTACGTACTTCTAATCACTAGACACTCCATAGATACTAGGCCTCAAAGAAGTCCAAGGAACTCTTTCTTTCCTATGAACCCTTCTAGCAAATAGCAGAAATACACAGTTTACATACTACCAAAAACAATTACCAAACCTCAAACACAAGACAGACTGAAACAATCTATATGGTAGCATGTTAACAGCATAAGTTAAGTATTACATCTCTCAATTTTTTTTAACTCTTTGCAGATCTGAACTGCATTGACACTGACTATAAACTCACTAGGGGGGACCAGAAGGGTTTGGAAGAGACCTTGTTTCCCCTAGCGCCCCCTGGCATAACAAGGAATAACAGCCACAAGTTGTTGGAGAGTAGGTTTAGATTAGACATCCGTAAGAACTACTTCACAGTTAGGGCGGCTAGGATCTGGAACCAACTTCCAAGGGAAGTGGTGCTGGCTCCTACCCTGGGGGTCTTTAAGGGGAGGCGTGATGCCTACCTAGCTGGGATCATTTGAGCCCAGTTTTTTCTCCTGTCCTGGCAGGGGGTCGGACTTGAAGATCTATAAGGTACCTTCCAACCCTACTTCTATGATTCTATGACTAAATACATTCAAATAAATGGTCTTTCCTCCAAGTCAGGTTGAATCTGAACACTAAGGCTAAGTACAGACATACAAAAAAGCCCAAACTTTAACTGATTCGTTCTTTGCAGGTTAATCTAAACTGCATAGATTGAACCGAGAAGCAAGTGAACAAACATTCACTTTTGATTCTGGAAATGCAGCCACATGCCTGCAGAGGCTCAGGTCAGAAGCTGGGGCGGGGAGCAAGACCCCCCTTCTCTTCAGCAGTGGCCAGATGGCTGGAGGGAAGCTGATCTGAGGGGGGCGTGGCCAGGCCCCAGCAGACACTGAGTATGACTGGGGAAGAGTTTAAACCCCCGCCCTGGTCTGCAAGACCCCCAGCCATGGTGTACCTGGAGGGGGACAGGGGAAGCAGCCCCTGCCAGGCTTTTCCCCGATCACCACTCAAGTGGTGGGGAGCATGGCCATACCCCGGCCTCCAGCTACCACACTGAGGCGGGGGGGGGGGCAAGAAGTTGGGAAGGGTTTAATCCTCTCTCCCAGCTGCATGGGACTCCATCCAGGGTCTGCCTGGCAGGGGCACAGAAGTCCCTGCCAAGCTTCCCCACACCCCCCCCCCTTCACTGCTCAAGCAGCAGGAGCCGTGGGCGTGGCCAGATGCCACTAGCCTGAGGCAGAGGGGGGTGGGGTTTAATCCACCCTCCCTCCCCTCTCCCACTGGCACCAGCTGGGGTTAAGGCCCCTTCCCCTTCTTCACCTCAGGCTACCAGTGTCTAGCCATGCCCCCTGCTCCTGCCACTTGAGTCGTGAAGGACAGGAAAGGGGGAAGCCTGGAAGGGGCTGCCGCGCCCCTGCCAGGCAGACCCCGGATGCAGTCCGAAGCAGGGTTTCCCACCCTCTTCTCAGCCAGCCAGAGCAGTGATGTGGTCTGCCTGGGGAGGAGAAGGCTGGGGCCAACTCTGCTCCACCGGAGCAAACAGTACAGCCCAGGGCTGCAAAGCGTCCTGGGATGCTGGGGGACTGTGAGTTGCCTTAAACCAGGAAGGGGTCTGGGACAGAAGTTCTGTAACTGGTTGCATCTAAATTAGTTAAGTCTGATACTACATTCAACCAGGTTTATCTTCAACCAGTTTTGGTCATTTTTAAAGCGGTTTATGCACACTGAAGTTCTGTTCTGTTACAAATTTAAACCCGTTTCTGATCACTTAAACCAGTTTATGAGTAATTTCTGTCCCTAGCCTAAAGAAAGCTCATACTATTACTTAACTGCACCATACTTAGCCTCATAGTTATATATGCCTTCAATTTCCCTTATTGCTAGTTATGTACTATATGCAAACCAAACTGCTGTTAAAATAATATACTCAACTATATAACCCCATTTAAAAATCAACTGAGTAAATGAAAGCTTCATGACAAAGTGCATTAAAAATAAAAGCAAATTCAAAACTTCATCAGTATTTTTGAGCATATACTAAACAGAAACCTCAGTTCTTATATACATTAAATAATGCCACGTGCAAAGATACATGTGGCAGGATGCATGGGTCACCTGCTACTTTAAGAGGTGAAGCAGCCAGTGAGGCAGCCTGAAATTGGGGCCAGGGCTGATTGTGGGGTCATCTGACCCAGAAGCCTGCAGGTGGGGGTAAAGCTGATTGAGGAGTCATCTGATCCAGGAAGAAGGCTGGACTTAGGGTGGATATAAGCTCAGGTCCTGAGCAAAGATGGCAGTAAAATCCTGGAGGCTACTGAGAAAAATACGATCTCAGCAGGGGGACTGCAGCTCCAGAAAGCTAGCATGGAGTAACACCTCAAGCAGTTTGGAGGTTTGGGAAGGAACTAAGGGGTGGAGAAGGTTCCTGGGGACCCAAGAAGGGGTCCGAAGCCCAGAAAGAGGGGCTGCATGTATGGGACCTACTGAGGGGTCCAAGGTGAGTCCCCAGAGAGAGGGGCTAAGCATAGGGGATGTAACAAGGGATTCAAAGCCCAGAGAGAAGGGTTGAGTATGGGACCTGATGAAGGGTAGAGACAGGGGAACTGTGTTGCAGTGAGATCAAGTGAACATCAAACAGTGATAGTGCTGAGCTGGCGGTAAGATCTTTGAGGGGCCTGGAGGCGTTCAACCCAAGGGAGGGGCAAAGAGGGGCGAAGCCAGGGGACCTAGAGGTATGCAGCCCAGGAGGGGCAAGTGACATCTGCAAGAGACCAAGGAGCCTGTAGCCCAAGAGGGGCAGGGACTGCTAGAGCAGGATAGCCCAGAGGTTGTTTCATAGTTGGTAGGGTCAGAAGGGACCTGAGCAGATCATGAGGTCTGATCCCTGCCATGGGCAGGAAAGAATGCTGGGGTCAGACGACCCCAGCAAGGTGCTTATCTAGCTTCCTTTTGAACACCCCCAGGGTAGGAGTAAGCACCACTTCCCTTGGAAGTTGGTTCCAGATCCTAGCCACCCTGACTGTGAAGTAGTGCTTCCTGATGTCCAGCCTGAATCTACACTCAGTCAACTTATGGCTATTATTCCTAGTTACTCCTGGTAGTGCTTGGGGGAACAGTGTCTCTCCCATTCCCCACTGGTCCCCCTTGGCCAATTTGCAGAAGGCCACCAGGTCCCATCTCAGCCTTCTCTTGTCAAGGTTGAACAGGTTCAGGTCCTGTAGCCTCTCCTTGTAGGGTCTGCCCTGCTGCCCCCTGATCATGCAAGTGGCCCTCCTTTGGACCCTCTCTATGCTGTCCACATCCATCCTGAAGTGCGGTGCCCAGAACTTGACACAGTACTCCAACTGTGGCCTGACCAATGTCCCATAGACATTTTCTGCCTCTGTGCTGACGAAAAGGGAGTTCCCCAGCCTGTAGGTGTGCTGCTGGTTCTTCCTCCCCAGGTGCAGCACCTTGCACTTGTCAGTATTGAAACCCATCCTATTCTCATCCGCCCACCCTTGTAACCTGTCCAGGTCTAGCTGTAGCCTGTCCCTCTCTTCTAACATGCCCACTACTCCCCACATCTTAGCGTCATCTGCGAACTTGAACAAGGTGCTTTTCACCCCCTTGTCCAAGTCGCTGATGAAGGTGTTGAACAGTGCGGGCCCATGGACCGAGCCCTGGGGAACCCCACTGCCCACATCCCTCCAAGTCAAAAACAACCCACCCACTACCACTCTCTAGGTGCGGCCCTCCAGCCAATTTGTGACCCATCTGACTGCATAGGCATCAACGCCACAGCCACCTAATTTTTTTTGACGAGAATGGGCTGAGAGACAGTGTTGAAGGCCTTCTTAAAATCCAGAAAACTACGTCCACTGCGACACCTGCATCCAAGGATTTTGTGACCTGGTCGTAGAAGGCCACCAGGTTGTTCTGACCAACCCAGCCTCTAATGAACCCGTGTTGGTTGCCCCTAAGCATAATCTCCCCTGCTGGTCCCTCGCAGATGTGCTTCTGGATAATTTTCTCAAAGAGCTTCCCCAGGACTGAGGTAAGACTAATGGGCCTATAGTTTCCTGGGTCCTCCTTCATCCCTTATTTGAAAATGGGGACCACTGCTGGCCCTTTTCCAATCCTCTGTCACCTCTCCAGAGCACCACGAGTGCTCGTAGAGCTGTGCCAGGCATCCCGCAATGTCCTCTGCCAATTCCCCTAGCACCCTTGGGTGGAGATCATCTGGACCCGCCGATTTGAAGATGTGCAGTCCCAACAGAAGTTCCCTAACCAGGTCCTCTCTGACCCCCTCCTGAGTTCATCGGGGATTATGGTGGGAGGGATGTCCTGGTCCCTGCTCAGAAATATGGAGGCAAAGAATTTGTTAAAGAGGTCAGCTTTATCATCTGGTGCAACCACCAGATTGCCAAGCGTGTCCTGCAGGGGCCCCATGTTACCTGGTGCCTTCTTTTTACTCCCTATGTATTTAAAAAAGGACTTCTTGTAGTCTTTGATCCGGGTTGCTAGTCCCAGTTCTGTGTCAGCCTTAGCCTTCGTAATAGCCCCCCTACAATCTTGAGCAATGGAGGTGTAATCCTCCTTGGTGATGGCCCCTCCCTTCCATCAGGTGTACGCCTCCCTCCTTTTTAGTTTTCAGATGATTCTGAATGCCTTTGGTGAGCCATGGGGGGTTTTGAGCACTCTTGCCCCCTTTGATTTGCATTGGGATTGTCACCCTTTGGGCTCAGAGGATTGTCTCCTTAAGGAACAACCACTCTTCTTGGAATCCCAACTCTCCTCCCCTCTGGGACCTCAGTGCCTCCCTGACTAATCTCCTTAATTCATTGAAAATGGCCCTCCAGTCCAGGGCTGCTGCCTTGCTGCAGGCCTTCGACACCCTGCACTGGATGGTGAATTCCAGTAGGCGATGATTGCTATCGCCCAGGTGGTTGAGAACCTGCAGCCCCCTCACCACGTGGTTGCCTGTGGCCAGGACCAGGTCCAGCAATGCATTCCCCCGATGGGACTGTGCACCTCCTGGGTTAGGTGGAGGTCCTGTATCTCGGCTAGGAACCTATGTGAGCGGTCAGACCTAGCTGACTGCTCCTCCCAGCAGACGTCTGGGTAGTTTAGGTCACCCTGCCTCCACGAGCTGACCTGAGAATTCCTAGTCCAGCTCTTCCCCCTGGTTGGGTGGTCTGTAGTAGACACCCACCGTTAAGTCCCATTCCCCCTGACCCCCCTTGTATTCTAACCCAGAGCACTTCAGTCTGCCCCTCCTCTGAGGTTGGTCCTGGGTAAGACGTAAAACTGTACCCTACTGGGGTGGGTTAGTGTGGTGGGGATGTCCATGACAGGGAAGCCTCCATGAAATGCCACACGTGAACATCCCAGGGAAAGGTAAATATGGGGAACCTGAAAGCCTCAGCCCCCACAGCCTTGTGAGTCATCCTTTGGAGGGGAAAAGCTAGGGGAGCACACCTCAACAGAAAAGCAAGAGAAGGAGGTTTCAGTGGGCCCAAAAAGATCCAGAGGCCCAGCAGGGGCCAGGAAACAGCAGGATCTGAATGAGACCAAGGGGGATCTAGTAGCCCACAGAGGGGCTGAGGAAGAGAATGAGGGGTCTGGTAGCCCAGGGTCAGGATCAGAGTGTACAGAAAAATCAATGGAGAGTGATGATGCATGCAAGGCTTGGGGTGTGGTACAGGGTCAGAAGAGTCACAATTATCCCATAAGGCACTAACCATAGACACTTGGTGATCGTTACAGTAAGATCAGGACAGCCTCCCGCATTTTAAACAACTATTTACATCAAGGCATAGTCAGCGAGAAGGGAAGACTGCCCATAGATCAGGGTAAGAGAAAATGTCTTGGCCTCCAGGGGCTTCACAGCCACCCCTAGAGACGGTACTATGACATCACTGTTTTTACTGTAGAACCCTGGAAATTCAACCTTAGAAAATCTGTCAGATTTAAGACTAAAATGACTTTTCAAAATATGAATCGTTATTAGATACATTTAATCCTTCTATCATTATCATGATAAATAATTACCATGGGGCATTTAAGCCATCCAATTCAAGAAAAGCAAACACTCTGTTTAGGCACTTTTAGAAGAGCACTAGTCACTTACTTGACAAACTGAAAATAAACAAATCCAAAAATATAAAAATATCCTGTAAGTACTATACCTTTGTAAGAGCAGCAGTGTGATCTTCTCCACAACAGATATGAACAATTTTCTGAGATCTTAGTGATTTCAACAGAGTAGGAACATACCTGTCTGAAAGTTATAATAGAAATGTTGGGTCACCGTAATGTAAGTAAATTTAAAACGTGTATTAAGCAACAAGAAAAGAGAATTAACAAACACTGCATTCAAATTTAATTTTCAAAATGACTGATCTTTTTAAGCCTATTTATTACACTTCAGAACTCAAAATGAGAGCAAAATGCAAAAGATGAGTAACTCAGAGTACCATACTGAAATCCTACAGTAAGAATTCATTTTCTCCCACTTTGTCAAAGGATAAACGTTCCCTAAAATAAAAAGCACTAACTCAGGTACATGATTTCAAAAGTCACAAAATACAAAGAAACAGAATATCACACCTGTGGCTGACAATGCAGAAAGGATATTATGAAAAATGTTTTGTTTTTAAGAAACACAACAAAGAAGGTATAGCATTACAATGAATTGTAATATTCCAGGTGTTATACACTGTTCATTCATAGCACTTTAATAGAGAGGGAAAGGCAGTGTTTGCATGCAGATTTGAGAGATGGTTTCAGTTTCCCTTCAGAAGTCAGAGCAAAGCAGCATTGTCATCTGGCTGCATAAATGAAGTTAAGAAATATAAAAAGTATAATTAAATAAAATTTGTTTGTGTACATGAAGAAGCTTTAAACATTTTCCTGACATTAAAAATATATATAATTATTGACAATGTGTGCTCAATAACAGCAGGGAACAAGGATTCTAAAGAAGAAAAGCTATGAAAAATATAAAGTTTAAAATAGAGCAATGTCTTCTTCTATCAGCTAAAGTTCCTGGGAAATTTTGACCACACAGAACCAGTCTGACTCTTTCTAATTCTCTCATGAAAAGTGTTGGTGAACACAAGAATTATTATTTCAGAAACAAGCTTTAGTTGCATAGCATTTTTCTCAAGAAGTTTTTGATAAGCATTCCTCCCCCTTCCTGACCTATATCACATAACCAACACTACCATTCCCAGGATCACTGCCTTTTCACCCACTTGCATCATTTCTTTACTTTACAAGAACAAGATATTTGTGAGGAACTCTAGTAACTGAATTTCTGTATCCACAGATTTATTTACACATCATAATCGTCACTTAATTGCATCTGTGCAGATGCATACCAGGTCACCTTCATAACTAGAAGCCTACAACTTAATATACCCAAAAATAAATATAATTAATATAATAAAAGGAAAGGACTGTTTGTTTAATCAGTTTGTACCTGAATGTTTACAAAAAAAAAGACAGACCCAAACAACGAAGAGTGAGGACTTATTTCCTAAGAGGTACGAGTGAGAGAAGAGAGACAAATATATAGTGAAGAGGAAACACAAAACTTGTCCGTATCTAATGAACATAGAGTAGATTGTATAAATTAAGCTGAATCTCAGAAAATGTGATTTACCTAAAGTTCCAGTTCCCAACAATTAAACAAATCATTTTGTCCAAACTTCAAAAAAGAAAAAGTTTCTAAATATAGAGACTCAGAATCCAAAACATTTGTCAATCATAACGGAAGTATTACAGCACACCATCAGATCTTTTGACCGTGAAACAGGAAAAAAAAAAAAAAAACACCCAAAAAACTATTACATCTTTTGTAAGAAACTAACATCAGTTTTCATGAGTGACATCTAACACAGGCCTTCTTTTTGATGGTCCTGTCTAATTTCCAGACAGTTATACTTGACCTCATTCTGGAATGGGAAAAGCACAGTACAGGCAGTCCTTGACTTGCAATGTTTCAAGTTGCAATGTTTTGCACTTGCAACGTTTATAAATTGACACCCTGTTTCAACTTTATGACGTCAGTTTCAACTTTACAATGCTTGATCCGATATGACACCACGCCAGCGAACAAGTTCGCTGCATTGCTCATCTCCCTGGAGAACGTCTGTCCAAACTTCCTTGGATACTTTCTTTAAGAAAGCAGACAAGACTCCAGAAAAACCCGCATCCAAGACTCCTGAAAAGACTCCAGCCAAGAACCCTTCAAAAAGTCCAACCAAGAGTCTTTCAAAAAGTCCAGCAAAGTCACCTCAAAGGAGTCCTTCCAAATCAATACAATTGCTATTTACAATATAAATACACTAATGTAGCTATATTACTCATCTATAATTGATCGAGTACAAAATTCTGGGGTATTTTTAGTGAAAATAGGGTACTGGACCTTGGTTCAGGAACAAAGACCCCATTTATAACATTGTTTCTTATGAGAAAATTGGTTCTGAGTTACAACGCTTCAACTTAAGATGTGGTTTTCAGGAACCAATTGTGTCGTAAGTCTGAGGACTGCCTGTATACACTTTTACCTTTCTACCACTCACACCTAAGGTGTTTATTACGCTTACTGAAGTCACTGGGAGTTGTTACTCATACAAATTTTAGCAAGCATGCAAACATTTATTCTAGGTCTTTAGTGTAGATTTTATAATCCATGTTGGCTCTATAAGGAGAAAGCTGCCCTAGACTCTGAACTGCATTTTCAATTGATCCCAAAAGGCCCAAGATACAGCAAATATAAACTGGATACTGACCAAACCAGAAAGCCAAGTTGCTCATAAAACTCTGCTTTTCAGTTATATTAACAAGGACCCCAATCTGAAAATTATTCCAAACCACCAAAAAGAGACAGACACCAATTAAGATTCCTACTATAAAATGTTCCATTACCTTAATGACTACTTACCATTTTCATCATTAAGACCTAGCTGACCAAATTTGTTGCGTCCCCATCCAAAAATGGCTCCAGAAAGAGTTAGTACAAAACTGTGCGCTCCACCTGCTGCGATTTGTGCAAAGGGGATTCCCAATAAAGATTTAATCAACTGTGGTGAAGCCTGCTTTTTAAAATCATAACCTAAACCTAGTTGACCATATTTATTCTGTCCCCAGGAAAAAACTTCACTTCCTGTTAAGTAAAAAAACATATAAAATTAAAAATGAGAAAGGATGCATACACTTCAACCATAGGTACAAATAAACTTACTTACTTTAACAAAAAATGATCAACCTGCAAAATATTAAATAGATGCACTACCTCTACAGAAAGTTTAGAACTAATAATCTCAGGAGTTTGGCAATTTATTCCTCTTTGTTCTTTCAAAGCCAAAAAAGCGATTGTAAATTTAAGGCTGATGTCAAACCTAGTCATCTGACAAATTTGAAAATAATAGTAATCAGTTCAAAACCTCCAAGACTATACTTAACATATTCATATTAAAAATGCCAGCTATCTATTAGCATTACCAATTCAACTGAAAACAGTATATTAAGTAATTTCATAACAATAAATGTACACACAATGAATTTGTACGGTTACTTTGGAGTAAGGTTAATATCTATACTACTGAAATAATTCTTTCAAGCCTGAGCTATCATTCTGTAACTTATCCTATCACTCCACAATAGGTGGCTACTTATTGGTTAAGGTAGCAGCCAGCCACCTTTACAAAACACAAACAGGAACACCTCAGCAGTCATCTGACAGGCTGGGGGGCTTCAGCAGCATTTCAGTGGTGTGAGGATTTGCCTGCATTCATGCCAGGGCCAAGCTGGTGGAAGCTGCACCTGCTCTGCTGCTGCTTCTTCCTATTCTCCTACTGCAACACACGGACAACTCCCAGAGAAACTGCATCAGTGCTGCCACTTCCTCCCACTCATCACTACCCCTCACCCTGCCACCCCCGTCTCCTGGCTGCTGGGTGGGTACAGCTGGAAGCTGCATGGTCCTGGCACAGCTCCCCGCTGGCTGGAAGCTATGCCCACACCACAACTGGATGAGTGTGTGTTGTGGGAGGGGAGCAAGGGAAGGGGTGAGAACAGCAACATCGCAAACTCAGTTTCCAATTACCCACCCACAGTGCGGGCACAGGCAAAGTCCTCTGACTTCATGGCCCATATCCACTACCTCCACAGGCCAGATCTGGCCCACGAGCTGAACCTTGTCAACTCTTGAGTTAAAAGGAAAGTCTTTATCAAATAAGGCTTGGGACCTTTTCAGAAATATCAACATTTTGACCATGACACTACTACCCAGAGAAATAATTTTTGCACCTGTTTATTGGTTCACAGGAGCTATACTGATATATGATCATCTGTCGTCGCTTTGCCTACAGTAGGAAAGTTCTACAAAAAATCTCAATATTGTTAACAAAAATTCATTTGTGTTACATCAATATTAGCAATGTTACAAAGCTGCAACCTAGAGGGGCCATTGCCATTAGACTAGAAGATTATCAGCCCCAGTATTAGCAAATTTAAGGTGACACCGCTTAGAATACTAGGGGTCCATGTACATTCCCAGTGTTACCAATACTAAATGAGCCTAAAATCTACATTAGCAAATGTCAACATTTGCAACATGTTTTACTGTAGGTAAGTCACTTGTGTCAACCCCTTTATGAAATTTTCTGTGGGAATGAATAGTTCTTTTGAGGTCGGAGCAGGCAAAATATAGCCCGTGGGTCAGATCCAGCCCGTCAGGCCATTCCGTTTGGCCCACAGGGCGCCTAAAAAATTTAGAAAATTAATATTTATCTGCTCCTGGCTGCCTGTCAAAGATGATATGAGCATCTGTCTGCATACTGATGCAGCACCACATGGCTCCCAGCTGCATCGCCAGACTGAGGCAGCATGGGGCCTTTGCCAGTACCCTGGAGTGTGGGTATTGTCCGGAACAAATTTTAGATGTATGCTGGTAACACAAGAGTTAAGTTTGATCATGCGCAGACAAGCAGACAGGGCCTATGGAAAATTCCACAGCATGCTCAGCATGTGCCCCCTGTGCGACCCTAGGGCTTGTCAATCAAAGCTGACCTAGTTTTGTAACAAGGCGCATGCTCAGTCTCACACAGCGAATGATGTAGTTAGACCAGAAATTTCTCTTGGAAAAGCAACCTGATTGGCTACCTGGTTGCCTTAAAAGACTTGTGAGTCCCTCACCCGGGGGGAGACGAAGGAGACTGGGAAGACCGGAGAGACAGAGGGGAGACCCGCTCGACTGGCGAGCAGAGGCTGCCTTGGCAGGGACTGTCTCGCTAGGAGAGATCCAACCTGAGAGCAGAGGCTGGCCTGACAGGGACTGCTCCTCAGGAGGGCTTTAAGCCCACTGGTCTCCTGTCTGAACCCTGAGAGCAGAGGCTGCTATTCACAGGGACTGTTCCTCAGGAGGGAAACCATGCTCGACCTGCGAACAGATACTGCCTTAGCAGAGACTGTCCCACAGGAAGAGATCGAACCAATCTTGAGAGCAGAGGCTGCGGCTGCAGGGACTGCTCCTCAGGAGGGCTTTGGGCCCACTGGTCTCCTCACAGCTATGATTTTGCGATTTATTCGATTCGTCTTGATCTGATTATTCCGTATCGATCTCTGGCTAACGAACTAATTTCCAGCTTCGACCTTGACCACTGGCTACGACATCATAACTTCGACCTCCAATTTGACTTCGGCATCTCAACGACCACCCGTTTCGTCCATTTGGACTGGCATCACGACATTCTACATGTTACAGTTCTGTTATCTGTATCCCGATTTATGAGCTGTTGACCAGCCCTCGGACTATCGAGTTGGGCAGCCGCCCCTAGCTCCAGCTAGAAAGCAAGGGCTCACTCGAGAACCCCGTGGGCCAACAGACCCCTGTGTTGTTTGTACGTTCGTTAATACTGTAACATTAATACTGTAACTGAAAAGCAAGCTCTTCTGCCTACACTCTAAAAGCGTAAGTAAATAAATCAACTTTATTTGAAACCGCACGTCCTGTACCACTCAGACTCCTCGCCACCAATCCCGCCTGTTTCATATCGAAACCCTCGGCCCACCGTGACCTTGGGGCCACTGTTCCCCGACAGGTATGTGTACAGGGAGAGACAGAGCGTGTGTGTGTACACAGAGAGAGTTTTTGTAAGGCAAGTCCCACATGCACATGCACCCACACCGACCTTCACACGGCCATACACATAGACCCCCACACCTATACCCCACAGCCACCCTCCCCCCGCACACAGCCCCTCACAAACTGCATACCAACCACACTTCACATATCCACACACCCACATGCTCCCTCACCCCACACTCACACCCCCCACA